TGGATGTCATTAGGTTCTGTATGCATGTATGTAGGTATACATGTACAAATGCATGTATGCACGTATGTATGTGGGTATACGTGTATGCATGAAACCATGGCCAGGAGGAAGACGAACCTGGTTTGGCAAAGGGGTACAGGAGGAAAGAAGGGTGGGCAAACGACCAGGTCGGAGCCTACTACTACTACTACTACTACGACTACGACTACGACTACGACTACGACTACGACTACTACTACCACTTCTGCTTCTGCTCCAGCTCCTGAGGCTCCTTGTGCCAGGGTGTTTCTTCCATGGCGCATGACGAGCGAAGTAGACCGCTGCCTTACCTGTAGAACGGATTGGCTGTCGTCATAATATCATAAAGTCAATAAAATATATTACCAGTATACTACGGACTCTCGTCATAATATAATAGAGTCAATAAAGTATTTAACCAGTATACTACGGATAATGTTTTGTTGTCTTCCTTTTCAGAGAAATCGTTGTCCTGGCAGGAATGCTGGTAATGCGCTTCAGCAATGTCTTCTCCAACTACCTAAGGCTGGCTTGCTTCACGAAGCCGAAACCTTGAGGGAAAAGGCTTCATGCAGGGACCTTAATCATTACCTGTATTATTTTCGTGCGTTCCTTATTATGACTATGGTATCATATACCCCAAAACCCCATTCTAGGTATCAAGGCCTCTACATTAGGGTTCATCGCCTCAACCCTTAGAGGGTGTCTTGCAGTTGCTTCATTTCCCGGTCGGAGTATCAGGGCCTTGGGGGTTGTTTAAGCTGTACCGAGACACCACTAGGGTTTAGGGTTTAGGGTTTAGGGTTTAGGCGGGCGGTGGTGCAAAATCTGCTCCAAACCCAAGGAATGGGAATCCGGGAGTTTCAGAAGATAAGGTATGCCTATAACCGGCAAGGATTACATAACGTAGGGGCCTAAAAATTACCCATACTGTTCTGGGGGTTCCTGATTATAAATATACTGTAATGGGCCCCAAGACCCTTTTCTAATTATTCAGGCCCCTATTTTAGGCTATCGTAGGATCCCTGTTATGCAGGCCCCTACTTTGGGGAAACCCCAAGTGTTCAGAAACCCGTCCAAAGAATTCTAAGCGACCTTTAAACCCAGCGCCGAGACCCCCCCCCAAGTCCCTCAACTCCGAAAGGGCTTGGGGTTTAGGGTTTAGGGTTTTGGGTTTTGGGGTTTAGGGTTTAGGGTTTAGGGTTTTGGGTTTAGGTTTTCGGTTTTGGGTTTAGGGTTTGGGGTTTGGGGTTAGGGGTTAGGTTTGGGGTTTGGGGTTTAGGGATTAAAGGCTAAAAATGCAGAACGTCTGGCTTGGGAGCCACCCGAAGCCCATTAAAACCCGTTGCAAAGCCGCTGTTTTGAACACATGCTCCTAAGCTCTAAAGCGCTAAACCCCAAAACCTAAACCCTAAAGCGCCAAACCCCAAAACCTAAACCCTGAAACCTAAGCCGTGAGAGCCCTAAAGCCCCTAAAGTTCCTAAAGCCTATCAGATCCTAAACCCTGGAGCCTAAGCCCTGAACCCTAAACCCTAAACCCTAAACCCTCAAACAAAAGCCCTGAGCCCTAAAGCCCCTAAAGCCTATCAGATCATGGTTCCTGCTTGATCTCATCGTGGTCTGCGTCGACTGGGCCATGACGATACTGGCTTTAGCGGACGAGGCAAAGGCGCCCTAAACCCTAATGCCCTTTAGCTCTAAATCGTTTAGGGTTTAGGGTTTAGGGTTTAGGGTTTAGGGAAAGTTCTACGGCCCTTAAGCCCTGGACCCTACTGCCCTGAAGCCCTGAACCCTATACCCTAAAGCCCTAAAGCCCTAAAGCCCGTAAGCCCGAAACCCTCGTACTAATTTGGCCCTAAAGCCTAAACCCTAGCCCGTAAGCCCTAAAGCCCTAAAGCCCTAAAGCCCTAAAGCCCTGAAGCCCTGAAGCCCTAAGCCTTGATACCCTGCAATATAGGGGCCTTATTAATTCGAACAGGGTTTGGGGTATATGATACTATAGTTATAATAAGGAACCCCCCAAAACCCTATTCTAATTATTAAGGCTCTGACATTAGCCTTAAGGCCACAAGGCCCAGGCCTGGAACCCTCAGCCGTCACCCAAAACGCGCAAGGCCCTGAGGCGGGGTTTCTCCTAGGTAGTAAAAGGGACCTTCTCGAGAAATCCTATATCCCCAAAACTCCCCCGTAATTCCGAGCTCCTAGTCCAAGGTTTCGGCGTTTGGGGGTTTAGGGTAAACCCAGGCCGGTTGAGGTTTAGTCAGGTTCTGAGACTCTGCTATGATTATACTCTTGTGCGTAAGCTTTGTTCAGAAGCCTCAGAGGTGGCCCTGAACCCTAAGCCCATACTCTCGAAAACCCCAAAGCCGAAAAACCCCCAAACCCCAAAGCCCTAAACCCTGAAGCCCAACCCCAAAACCTTAAAGCCCTAAACCCTGAAACCCTGAAACCCTGAAGCCCTAAACCCAAGAACCCCAAAGCCGTAAAAGCCCAGGTCCACGTGGGGTTTGAAGGCCCCTTCCCATGCCGTGCAACACCAGGGCGGTATGCCTGAGAAAGCCCACACACACCTCAACAGGCCGAAAATAGTACAGGGGCTCTAATAATTCTAACAAGGTTCCTTCAAAGGGTTCCTTAAAGTTATAGTAGGAATCTACGATAGTTCTATATAGGGGCCTTAATAACTAGAATAGGGTTTTGGGCCTCTTTAAAATATAACATAATGATATTAGGAGCTATAAGGAAAGTATGTGTGTTGAATTAAGGAACTCTGAGGAATAATATTGGCATTAAGAACTCTGAGGAGTAATTTGTATTAATAAAGGAACTCTGAGAAATAATCTTGGTAAGTATTTAGGCTTCTTTATTACACGAGCACCAAAACCCTAAACCCTAAACCCTTAACCGCCAAAAATTGAACACCTCGCCGGGACTCCTTGCAGACTATGGCCTTCGAGCTACTCAGCAAGCGAGGCTGGTAGAAAGCTTGAACTGAGGTTTTCCGGACATGGGGGACCCTAATTGTGGGACCCAGAATAAGGTACCCGCATTTCCGGAAACCCCAAATAAGCACAGAAGCTGGAAGTCCTGCACCCTGGAATCCCGGGCCTTGGGACAAAACGGTTTAGGGTTTAGGGTCGAGGGTTTCGGGTTTAAGGTTTGTAAGTTTTAGGGTTTAAGGTTCAGGGTTTAGGGTTTAGAGTTTAAGGTTCAGGGTTTAGGGTTTAGGGTTTAGAGTTTAAGGTTTAGGGTTTAGGGTTTAGGGTTTGGCATACGCCATGAAGCCCTGACCTTTGAGAACTCCTTGCCCGAAGTCCTTGACCTGATCCAAGCCTAGAAACCCGGACCTTCCAGTGTCCCTGAAGTAAGGAATATACTTTGAAGGGATCTACAAGGGTTTCCAGGATCTACAAGGGTTCCTATAAGGATACTATAGGAATTAAGCGGTATACCTTAATTTATAGCAACAGATCCCTGATATGATTTAGGGTATACTCCTTAAGTCAGGGATATTGGATGGTCTGGGAACCCTACAAAACCCTGAGACCGACATTCTGCCCTCATTTTTTTTATGAAATGGTTAAGGGTTTAGGGTGACATTCTACCCCGGAAAGACCTGCAGAAAACGGCGATGCCCTCTTTACCTCAACTCGAAGCCCAAGCACCAGGGGGATGGTGCTACCGGTGTGGCGAGGCTTTCGAAGATCCTTGACCTCATTTTGAGGTGTCTCCTTGGTAGTAGAGTAGGCAACCTTGAACCTTCTTGGGGTACTATAATCCCATAGGATCCCAAAGGCTCACCTTTAGTTCCCTAGGGTTACTGGACAAGTAGGTTTCTGAAAGGTCCGAAAGCGGTTTGAGGAGGTTTTGGGCTTTGGACGTGGGAATTCGGATCGGGGGCTTTTGGGGTAGGTTTGGGGTCAGAGGTTGAAGTTATGCTGGAGAACTTAAAGATCCCAGGATTTATGGACAGCAGCGCATGTGTCGGTCGGAAGCTGTTGCGAGGAGGAGTTGTGCAGCACATCAGCACAAAATCCCAGAGACTTTTTGGAATCGTAAGTCTGCTTATCGTCGGAACGCCAAACCGTAGGCCCTGAACCACGAGAACATCAGAAGCGAGGTCCCTCCGTCTGCTTCATTTCCTTCGCTTGACTCGCGTGGTGCGGATGATCAAGACGAGTCTCGATCTTCGCTTTGCGGCTTAGGGGTTCAGGGCGTAGGGGTTTAGGGGTTTATGGTTTAAGTTTAGGGTCCGGATTTGTGATGCCTTAGGGTTGTAGGGCACCAGTCCTGAGATGTTGACTTTCAACAGCAGCGCTCGGGCGGTTTTGGTACACTGTGAATGCCGAGACTAGCCATCCATCCCCTAAGCCCTAAACCCTAAACCCTAAACCCTAAACCCTAAACCCTAAACCCTAAACCCTAAACCCTAAACCCTGAACCCCAAACCGCCAACAGCAACCCCAAGCCCTACACCTATGCAAGACACATGCTCCTGCCTGGCCGTAGTTTTCTGCGAAGTTCCATGAAATTGCCAAACTTTCCCTAAGGGTCCATGTACCCAAACAGTAGATACGTTGGCCCCAAGGTACCCAAATAGGGACTACTTTGAGGCCAAAGTATCTACTATTTGGGCACATGGACCCTTAGGGTTTTATACATATACCTATAGGCACGGTGTATGCAGTGTATGGTCACCGTACTGCGTAAGAAGCCCAGGCTCCGCCAAACTCTGCAGTTAAAAGGTCTAAAGCATATGCCCCCCAAGCCCGAGGCCGTAGTGCCTAAACACTGTATGAAGAGTAATCCCGCTAATCACTTCTATCCTCAAGGAATGCAATCTTGCGGCATTTCGAGGAGAACACGCTATCCCAGGCTCCTTGTCAAGCCTTCCGGGTTTAGGGATTAGGGTTTTAGGGTTTAGGCGGTTCGGGTTCAGGATTTAGGGTTTAAGGTTTAGGGTTTAGGGGTTTAGGGTTTAGGGTTTAGGGCTTACCAATACGATTGTGGCGGCACCTTTTTGTAATAGTTGTATCAATATAGTAACGTAGAGAATAACCAACACTACTTTGAGGGCTCCTTGATGTAAAGATTGTAATTAGAATATCATATGTGTGGGAAGGCGAGGTAGAATGAATGAGCACCAGAGTGTGCATGTTTTGAGTTCAGTCAGTTCAACCTGACTTGTACAAATCCGCACTCCTTGTTTAAGCCGGAGCCCCAAACCTCCTGAACCCCAAATCTCGAAATCCTCAGGTCACGATGACGCAGTACAGCCTGCTTCTGGGCAAGCAAGCGGAATGAGGATGGTGAAAGCCTTAACCGCAAAGCATCCAAACCCTACAGTAAACGTAGCTCCTGATATGTAATGTGTGGTCCGAAGTAGTGTGAGGGGGACCAAAAGTTTGGTCCGGAATAGTGTGGGACCGGGGCTGCTTCTGGGTGGCTGAGATTAAGTTAGAGAAGGGAATAGGGGGGGCCGAGGGGTTTGGGGGCTGGCTCAGGATCTGGGTGGCTTTGATTAAATTAGAAGGGAATTGAGGGGC